CGTTGAGCTACAATGACACTTGTCAGTAGAAATGTTCGAGTAGTAACGTTGAGCTACAATGACACTTGTGTCTGTAGAAATGTTCGAGTAGTAACGTTGAGCTACAATGACACTTGTCAGTAGAAATGTTCGAGTAGTAACGTTGAGCTACAATGACACTTGTCAGTAGGAATGTTCGAGTAGTAACGTTGACTTACAATGACACTTGTCAGTAGGAATGTTCGAGTAGTAACGTTGAGCTACAATGACACTTGTCAGTAGAAATGTTCGAGTAGTAACGTTGAGCTACAATGACACTTGTCAGTAGAAATGTTCGAGTAGTAACGTTGAGCTACAATGACACTTGTCAGTAGAAATGCTCGAGTAGTAACGTTGAGCTACAATGACACTTGTCAGTAGAAATGTTCGAGTAGTAACGTTGAGCTACAATGACACTTGTCAGTAGAAATGTTCGAGTAGTAACGTTGAGCTACAATGACACTTGTCAGTAGAAATGTTCGAGTAGTAACGTTGAGCTACAATGACACTTGTCTGTAGGAATGTTCGAGTAGTAACGTTGAGCTACAATGACACTTGTCAGTAGAAATGCTCGAGTAGTAACGTTGAGCTACAATGACACTTGTCAGTAGAAATGTTCGAGTAGTAACGTTGAGTTACAATGACACTTGTCAGTAGAAATGTTCGAGTAGTAACGTTGAGCTACAATAACACTTGTCAGTAGAAATGTTCGAGTAGTAACGTTGAGCTACAATGACACTTGTCAGTAGAAATGTTCGAGTAGTAACGTTGAGCTACAATAACACTTGTCAGTAGAAATGTTCGAGTAGTAACGTTGAGCTACATTAACACTTGTCAGTAGAAATGTTCGAGTAGTAACGTTGAGCTACAATGACACTTGTCAGTAGAAATGTTCGAGTAGTAACGTTGAGCTACAATAACACTTGTCAGTAGGAATGTTCGAGTAGTAACGTTGAGCTACAATGACACTTGTCAGTAGGAATGTTCGAGTAGTAACGTTGACTTACAATGACACTTGTCAGTAGGAATGTTCGAGTAGTAACGTTGAGCTACAATGACACTTGTCAGTAGAAATGTTCGAGTAGTAACGTTGAGCTACAATGACACTTGTCAGTAGAAATGTTCGAGTAGTAACGTTGAGCTACAATAACACTTGTCAGTAGAAATGTTCAAGTAGTAACGTTGAGCTACAATAACACTTGTCAGTAGAAATGTTCGAGTAGTAACGTTGAGCTACAATGACACTTGTCAGTAGAATGTTCGAGTAGTAACGTTGAGCTACAATAACACTTGTCAGTAGAAATGTTTGAGTAGTAACGTTGAGCTACAATGACACTTGTCAGTAGAAATGTTCGAGTAGTAACGTTGAGCTACAATGACACTTGTGAGCCGCCGTGGTGTAGCGTCTAGATGCTTGTCCACGGATCAGAAGGTGGTGGGATCGTGTCCTGTATTTTTTCCAAAAATGTTACCTTCGCTTCTAGATCACCTCTTCCTTGAGTGCGTACTTGATATATTCCTGGGAAGTAAAGGCGGTCAGTGTGATGTAGACTACATCACCCACCCAGTGCCCCTTGGTTTATAAAATATTAGTCTAGCCCTATATGCTCTTCTTTTGTAACACTAACTTGATCCGGCGTACAAAAGAGAATTTAAGAGTGAAAAGTAAAGTAGGTAAAGGACCCTTGCAAGCCTTTATGTGTATAGGGCATATAGGGCTAGACCTATATTTTATATACCAATTGGTACAAGATGGGTGATGTGGTCAGCACCACGCCGGCCTCCTTTACTTGGGTCGACCTGGGAGCCAAGGTCATTTTTGAAAAAAATGTCTGGCTCCACCAGGGAGCGAACCCAAGACCTTCCGATCTGCGGCGAGCGTCTAGCCGCTCCACTACGGCAACTCCTAAAAGATTGATGCAAAATTATTTTTTTTTAAGTTAAAAAAACATCGGGCATGGTACCAGCAGTAGTTTTGCTCGGCCAGGATAAAATAATACCAAATTTGTACGAAAGTACCAACTTCGACAGCCCTGATTGCCATCACTAACCTTGGAGATAGAGGCGGCCATTTCAACTTATGCAACCAGGCTGACCTACAAACACACAAAGGCTCTGGTATAAAACCTACTCACCAAGAAAGGGGTTTTTGCACTCGTCCAGTCACTGGGCGACAAACGTGTCTCGTGGAACTGTTCGCAATGGCGCAGTTGTGGTTCCTAGTGTTCTGGGGACTTCTGGTAAGTGTCTGGTCAAATGCTGCTCATGTGCTCCTACGTTAGGGTAGTTGCGTATCCTTTAAAGGGCGTTGCAGAACCAACACCAACAGCCCCTGACTGTCGTGTGGTTTTTTTAGGCAAATCTATATCCAGTAGTTTACCATTGCTTCCTGGACGGTCGGCTTTCCTGATACCACTGTTGAAACCAACGCAAGGCGCAGGATCCGCAGCTGGGATCGAACCCGGCATCCCGGCATTACGAAGCGTTCGCAACGACTTAGCAACAGAGCCGACTTATGTGTTCCTAGACGATATAAAATATCACAAAACCTGGCATTTGAATATTGTAGTAGCAATAGGAAGTAAACTAAAAACGTTCGTTAACTGGCGCAATCGAAGATAAAGTAAGTAAAGTCAAGGACTATTTTCCACGCCTTTCAGGCGTAATGGGTATATAGGGCTAGACCTATATTTTATAGACCAAACGGCACATGGTGAGCGATATGGTCAGCATCACGCCGGCAGCCTTTACTTCCCGGGACTGCACCTGGTACCTATACAAGGCAGGGTCGACCTTGGGGCCACGGTTATTTATGAACAAATCCGGCTTCCGTCAGGAACCGAACCCACGACCTTTCGATCCGCAGATGAGCAATGCGTAGAATAGAGGGAATTAAATGGTATGACAGAATCGCGATGTAGAGCTTTGAGAGAGAACTTAAAAAAAGTTCCAGTGGACCAGGAGGTGAAGAAAAGACGCTGACATTGGATAGGACACTCGCTGAGAAAACCTGAGAACAATACAAAACAAGAATGTCTTTGCAGTGGATTTTGCTGCGGCCCCTGCTGATTGTAAGACCGTAAGCTTAGTTAGTTTACGCTTAAATCCAACACTGCATGTAACAGTAGTCGACACTAACTGTTTTCTGTTAATGATGAAATGTTGGGCGGAGTAAATCAAACCTGACATCCCACAGTGTGACATCAACTTTGGGCAGAGGAGCGCACACAACGGGATACTAGCCTTGTCCTAAAAATGCAACCTGAAAGCTTTATGACTGGCAGGGCGACCAGGTCCCAAGCCTTGGTTGGTAGCTGGTCAAGGATGGAAGCTCCGACATGCAGAGTTCTACTCTTCTTCTGATCCAGCAGCTTCTGCAGCGTGTTTTATTTCAAAAGTGCTGGTGTTACCTTTTCTTTAGAGTAAACAAGGCAGGTCGAGATGGGGTCGTGATACATGATCAACACGTAGTTTAAACAATTCTGCACAGGTTTTGGGCTACACACACACACACACACACACACATATATATATATATATATATATATATATATATATATATATATATATATATATATATATATATAAGCCCAGCACAGTGCACAGTTTCTGTATCACCGGTGAGGATCCTGAAATACTTTAGGTAGATTTTTAACTCTAAATTTTGCACGATTTTCAACTGCCAAGGAGTTTTTTTTTTTTTTTTTTTATGTGTGCAACAATGCACAAGGGCGTCCGATCTCACTACCCAGAGACCTGTGGGAATTTTTAGAAGTTCTCATGAAAGAAAATCCCAGCCCTTACCGGGGATTGAACCTGGAACCTCAAGCACTCGAGACGGACATTATGCCTCGAAACCACGCCGCCATCTAGACACATATAATAAAATACTTAAAATAATATTAAATGTATTAACAAATACTGTTAAAGACAATTTCTAGGCATTGTTGAATGGAGACTTTTAGCACCCTTATAAAATTATTCGGAAAAGGGAGGGGGGTGAGACCCCCCCCCCCTTTTCTAAAATATTTGTGAGGGTGGGAGTTAAAAGGGATCTGGGGCCCCCCCACCCCCTCGGTTCCAGCGCCCAGGGCGAGATGTCCCGTTTTCAGCTAAAGATAGTATTAATACCCTGTCCAAGAAAGTTCACCTGTCAACAACCCCTTGTCTGAGTCTACTATTTCTGTAAGCTTACCTGTACAAGACCTTGCACAATGTGCTCGCTTATGTATTCTCGGCTCCATGTAAAGAAAGTCCCGGGTCGTTTCCACTACCTTTAACTGTGTCTCATGGTCAGTATTACATCTGTTTCTTTTGCTTCCTTGAAAATTTTCTGTTTAAAATTTTTTTTTTTTTTTTTACTGGTGTTCTGAAAAGTGCAGTTCAATTGTTCATAATTTCTGAATAAGGGAAAACAGCACAATACAAATAATTTGATAGGAGTTCAGCTAGTCATTGCTAACTAGCTAGACAGTGGCTAGCTGAACTCCTATCAAATTATTTGTATTGTGCTGACAATAATAGTTATTAAACCTTTCTTTTCGAGAAGCATGGAAAAGAGGAGGAGGTAGAAAAAGAGAAGGAGAAGGGAAAGAAGAAGAAGAAGAAGAAGAAGAAGAAGAAGAAGAAGAAGAAGAAGAAGAAGAAGAAGAAGAAGAAGAAGAAGAAGAAGAAGAAGAAGAAGAAGAAGAAGAAGAAGAAGAAGAAGAAGAAGAAGAAGAAAAGAAGAAGATGATGATGATGATGATGATGATGATGATGATGATGATGATGATGATGATGATGATAATGATGATGATAATGATAAAGAGAAAGACGAAGAAGAAGAATAGTAGGAGAAAAAGAAATAGCAGCAACCACAGTAGTGGTAATAATAGCAGCAGTAGCAGTAACAGCAGCAGCAGTACAAGAATAATGTGTAAGTTCCATTCCAAAATGGCTGTTTGATGTGTAACTCAACAATTGTGTCTCTCTCTCTGCAGCTGTGTGTGTGCCAGGCCACTTTGCTGAGGAAGAACGTGGACCATCTGTCCAATCAGGATGTTCTGAATCTCCAGAAGGCTCTGCGGGATGTCTTCGACGACAACTCGACCAAAGGTTTTAATGCCATTGCTGCCTACCACGGCTACCCTCCCCAGTGTAAGGATGGCGACCGAGCAGTTGCTTGCTGCGTCCATGGTGACCTCAACTTCCCTGCCTGGCATCGACTTCTGGTTGTCCAGATCGAGCAGGCACTGAAAGAAAAAGGTGATCTCGAGTTACTGTGTATCAGTTTGTTAGCGTTTAGGAGTAAATGGAGAAGAGATGGAAAATACGTTTGATAATAAAATTTTAAATTTAAAAAAAAAAAAAAAAAAAAAAAAACAGTGAAAGTAAAGAAAATGTCGTGGTGAATGTAACCATAATACCATGTTGAAAGTAAAAGAAAACTCCGCTCTAAATAAAATGATAACACCCCATTGAAAATGATGAATATCATCATGCTGAAAGTAAAGATAATACCGTGCTGAAAGAAAATATAAAAACATGCAGAAAATTAAAAAAAAAAAAAAACACTGCGCAGAGGGCAGATAAGAATAAGTAGAAACTCCACAGGGGACCATGTACAGCAGGAGTCTACCAATCATCAGTAGAAGTAATCTCTCGTCGACACATGTTTTGGCTCCTAGACATTTTCAGAGTGGACCCACCTGAGTTCATAAGGCTCAGGGTTGATTTCACCTGCTGCACGTATTACCGGAAAGTAAAGACCATGCTGAAAGTGAAAAATAACGGGGGTGGGGGTGGAGAAAGAACTGTCATTACTGCCAGTATTTAACACTTTTGCGGTCTTAACTGTCTTCATTAGTTCCTTACGTACACCACCCGGTAGAGAAAGTAAAGATGTCTACTGTCTTCATTAGTTCCTCACGTACACCTCCCGGCAGAGACAGTACAGATGACTACTGTCTTCATTAGTTCCTCACGTACACCACCCGGTAGAGACAGTACAGATGACTACTGTCTTCATTAGTTCCTCACGTACACCACCCGGTAGAGAAAGTAAAGATGTCTACTGTCTTCATTAGTTCCTCACGTACACCACCCGGTAGAGAAAGTAAAAATGTCTACTGTCTTCATTAGTTCCTCGCGTACACCATCTTGTAGAGACAGTACAGATATCCCACTATCTTTATTAGTTCCTCACGTACACCTCCCGGCAGAGACAGTACAGATGACTACTGTCTTCATTATTTCCTTACGTACACCACCCCGTAGAGAAAGTAAAGATGTCTACTCTCTTCATTAGTTCCTTTCGTAGACCATCTTGTGGAGACAGTACAGATATCCCATTATCTTTATTAGTTCCTCACGAACATGATCTGGTAATTACAGTACAGATACCCCACTGTCTTAATTAGTTCCACACGTCCATGATCTGATGGAGACACTGTCTTCACTGCATCTTCGTGTACAAGACCCGGTTTAGACAATGCAGTATGTTCGTTGTTACTATGATTTTCTCTTACTTTTTTTTTTTGTATAGGTTTATATATCGGTGTTCCTTACTGGGACTGGACTGTGGAACTGCGACAGCTTCCTAACCTCGTCAATCAGAGAGTGTTCCTGGACAGCGCTGGGGGCAAAACCAGGAAAAACGCCTGGTATCAAGGCAACATCCGCGTGGGGGACAAAACCTACCACACAGCACGAGCTGTAGACAAGAGGCTCTACCAGAAT